ATTGCCACTGAGACAGAAATTGATGGAGAATACAAAATTTCAGAGTTACCACCAGAACATGATGATTGCAATGTATAAATATCTAAATGGTGATTCTAGCATAGGGAGAAAACTGTTCAGTCTCAGATCACTCAAGAGGACACGTGGTCACTCAATGAAGTTGAACGAGAGGCAGTTTAACCTTAAACTGCATAAAGGTTTCTTTACTATTAGAACGTTAAGAATGTGGATCTCCCTTCCACAATCGATGGTGTCAGCGGGAAGTGCTGATTCAGTGTAGTTTCGAAAACCTTTTAGATGGGCATCTTAGTGAATACAATACAAGTACATGGAAAGTGATGACATAAGTGCACATACACACCCACATAGGTTGAACTGGTTGGAACGATGTCAACCAACTACAGTATGTATCTATGTAACAAGAAGTGATGGGAAATCACCCAGTGAGAACACCTGTTCTAGTGGATAATTGCTCATTTTGTAGAAATTGCCTCTAATGTCCTGTTTTGACTCTAGGAGAGCATGTGGAAAGGAAGCTCACCACCTGGACACAGACAGAAAAAAGTACATTGACAGGGAAATTTCCCCTTGCCTACTATATTCAAAACTGTAAAAACATTTTGGCTATGCACACACTTTATTTGTACCTAAACCTGTAACTGGAAATGTTCCTTTTGTCTTGATTTCGCTCACCAAAAACAGCAGTGCAATTGCTGCTTTGGGAGAGTGTCTAGACCAGCAATGGGCAAACTACGGCCCGCGGGCGTATACGGAGGCGGACCTTTTAATCCGGCCCGCGGAGCGTGATAAAAAAAAAAAAAACAGCCAGGGCAGGCAAACATTGGCTGTCAGGATGTGTGTAGGCGGGGCATGACGAACTGAGGGGATCCTCTCACAGTCCACCCTGAAGACCGTAACGGCGCGGGAAACACGGCGAGAGGAACGCGTGGAGCAAAGGTAAGTAAATTGACACAGGGGGGACTTGGCTTACTACTTGGGGGGAATAGTACTATGGGGGATGAAATACTATATGAGGGATGAATTAATATGGGGGATGAATTAATATGGGGAATGAATTACTATAGGGGGGATGAATTACTATATGGGGGATGAATTACTATGGGGGATGAATTACTATGGGGGATGAATTACTATGGGGGATGAATTACTATATGGGGGATGAATTACTATATGGGGGATTAATTACTATGCTTACTATGGGGGAATATTGCTATACTTACTATGGATGGCATGGTAGTGGCTGGGCCGGCCAGCAGCTAGTAGGGGGCAAGTTTTGTAAAATAACTCTTTTTATGCTTTTCTACCTTAAATTAATCTAAACATTTAATGTTACAAATTTTAATTTAATTTATATTAATTCACACATACACATCATTCATCTGCTCTTGGTCCGGCCCCCGGGTCCAATATATGAACCCATTGCGGCCCTCAAGTCAAAAAGTTTGCCCACCCCTGGTCTAGACATTCCCATGCCCTATAGCTGAAGACATTGCTATAACCAGAAGGTTAATGGTTAGGTTTATGTCAGGAAGAGGTTATTTTGATGCTCATGATCTATATTCAGCTTCAGATTTGATAAACTTTATTGATCAAACCAGATAGATTGAATGGTTAAACATTTGCGTTTACCATATGATCTTGTGATACCTGCATTTCATTTGATGGTAAAACAGTAAAAATATCAGCTTTAGAGCAATAATCTTTTGGTAATGGGCCGCTGATGAACCATTACATCAGGGTTTTATAGGGATTCTTGTAAACAATAACTTTCAACACTTATTTTTGCAGACAAGAGATAGTATACAAATGTAGCAATTTATCTTCATCATCATACACTATAAAAAGATGCAACCCTATAAAACCTGAAGGCACTATATAATCTGCAAGAACGTGCATACCTAGCCATATCAATCCTGCAGAACCATCAAGCTTTCCAAAATTAATATTTTACTCTTTGACCATCTAGTTTCTTTTATCTCTTAAAGTGTTACTAAACCCAGCAGTCAATCTGTCTGTATATGCAGTAAAGCATGCTTGTTATACTCATTGTGGAACCTAAGAGGTTAATCCTCCACACTGTGTAAAAAAGATGTTTGATCCTGTCTTTTCTGATCCTCTCCTTCTTCCATTGTCTCCTAAATATCTCCTGATAGAACAGAGATTTGTTTGATTTGTGTAGGCGTGCACTTGGTTTCTCCCTTAGCTCAGAAGATTGATGGTTTTCGCTGTCACCAGTAAGGGTCGTTACTGCACTGGCCATAGTATAAGGATTCCTGCTTAGCTAAGTTATAAATATTAATTTCCTCCTAGTCATCCCAGTAAGAGTTCAAAGCCACTGGGGCGTGATGAGGGAGAGTATAATATTTGGAAAAGCTATGTGATCGATGTCTTGCCTCAGGCAGAGGCAGAAGCTGCTGCCTGGACTGTTTATACTGTTAGGCCCAGAAATCTCACTGGGGCCTAGTCTACCTTTTAGAACACAAACCTACACAAATGGTCTAATAAATTCACCAGGTGGGAAAGCTGCATCTCTGAAAGTTGCGCCACTATTTCATTTGCTGTATTTGCAGCATTGGGGTTCCTGGCTGTGGTAGAGCCTAGAAGCCCTACCAACAACCACAGAAACCTTCCAGTCTACTAGCACCTCACTGGGAGGCATCAGGAAGATAAGTCTTGGCAGCTATTCCTGGCAGCTATTCCCTGGCCTTATCAGTAAAAGACTGTTTATCGATCCAGGTGATGTTGTTGCTGCAAGGACATAAGAGTCGATGTAGTGTTATGGGGTATAGAATACTCCGCTACCTCTAACCTCCCTTTCCCTTTCCAGTCTCAGAGGCTAAGGCATGTTATTCTGCAGGACAGTGAAGTTAGTGTCCTCTTCTTTGTATGTGTACTTATTGGAGAATCCCATGCCTTGCACCCCTCCTCACTTGCAAGTTTATTCAGCATTAAACTTTAAAAAGACATCCCCTAGACCGGTCACTGGGTCAGTGTGTGCATGGAGACAGCAAAGTGTGTGCGTTGTTAGCCTCTGCACCATCAGGACTCTGATTATCAATTTCATCTCTGAGACTGTACTTTAATCACGTTCCATCATCATTCATTAGTTAGCTTCTCCTATGAGGGTACTGCTACATTCAGAATTAGTATTTAATTTTAAACATTGCAGATTCATAAAGAGGCCTCTCACACGCAATACATTTTTAGACAATTTTATCTGAACATGCTACAAAATTTTCACATTAGTGGCATCTTTAAAAAAAAAAGTAATATTACATTAAAATATAAATATACATACTAATTTATAAAAAGAGACAACAATACTCTGTAGCACAAGGAAACATAACCAGATGCAGATTAACCACTTGCCGACCGCGCATAGCCGAATGACGGCTTCACCGCGGCCGGCCAGTTCTGAGTGGACGTCATATGACGTCCTCCCAGAACGCGCTCTCCTGCGCGCCCCAGGGGGCGCGCACCCGGCGATCTCCGTGATCGCTGTGTCCTACGGACACAGCTGATCACGAGATGTGGTGAAAGGCCGATCCCACCGGCCTTTTACCACGTGATCAGCGGTGTCCAATGACACGCTGATCACAGGAAAATGCAAGTGCCGGTTTCGGCTGCACTTTCCTCACGCTGTCAGATCGTGAGGAAAGTACTGCCGAGAACCGGCAGTTGTCAGAGCGGGGATCGGCACGATCATCAGGGCACTGATGATCAGTGCCCTGATGATCGGTGCCCAGCAGTGACCCCCGCAAGTTCCGATCAGCTGTGCGCCCACTAGCCCCGCCCACCCATTCCCAGCAGTGCCCCCACCTGTGCCCAGCAGTGCCCCCACCTGTGCCCAGCAGTGCCCCCACCTGTGCCACTCTGCAGTGCCACCTACCTGTGCCCAGCAGTGCCACCTACATGTGCCCAGCATTGTGCCCACCCACCTGTGCCCACCAACCCACCTGTGCCCACCAGTACCCACCTGTGCCCACCCACCAGTGCCACCCCACCAGTGCCACCCACCAGTGCTGCCAGTCAGTGCCACCAGTCAGTGCCCAGGGGTTGTGCCAGTCAGTGCCGCCAGTCAGTGCCCAGAAGTGATGCCAGTCAGTGCCGTCTATCAGTACCCATCATCAGTGTCACCTATCAGTGCCGCCTATCAGTGCTGCATATCAGTGCCGCCTATCCGTGACCCCTAATTAGTGCTGTCTATCAGTGCCGCCTATCCGTGCCACCTCATTAGTACTGCCTATCAGTGCCCTTTAGTGCTGCCTATCAGTGCCCATCAGTGCCGCCTATCAGTGCCCATCAGTGCCGCCTCATCAACGCAAATCAGTGAAGGATTGTTTGAAAAATTTTTATAAAAGAAACAAATAAACTTTTTTTTTTTTTCAAATTTTTTGCACATTTTTTAATTTATAAAAAAGTAAAGCGCCCAGTGGCGATTAAATACCACCAAAAGAAAGCTCTATTTGTGAGAAAAAAATGATCAAAATTTCATATGGGTACAATGTTGCATGACAATTGTCAATCAAAGTGCGGCAGCGCTGAAAGCTGAAAATTGGCCTGGTAAGGAAGGGGGTATAAGTGCCTGGTAGGCAAGTGGTTAAATGTAAATAAATACATTAGGATGGAAGATCATTTGTAAAGTATGATGTGCTATTTGATAATGAGAAAATTAAAACTAGAACAGAAGAAAATGTTTTTTGCAAAGAGTCAGGTGTGCACTTTCATTCTCAAAACTGTATTGGGGACAAAGAGTTATTGGTTCCTCTGACTTTTTTTTTTTTATTACTCTGATGTTCATATATCTGGCACTTAAAAGTATATTAAAATCCTTGTAATTGCTTACCAGATGGTATTACAAGAACTAATACAATATGCATTCTGTTTTTGTATTGTATAAAACACAATTGCTTTTCCAAAAGAGATGCAGTTCTCAAATACTCTGAGTATTATGCCCAACTCCATTTCCCAAATTGAAGTTAAGGGTCTTTCTTATTCAACAGTGGTGAGAGGTCTGCTGGAATCCCAATCCATTCTGGAAGGAAAGCGGCTTCATATTTAAAAACGTTAAGAAAAGGAGAGTCGGGCAGTGTGTAGTTTGTTAAATAGATGGTTTCGCCACCTACCAGGTAGCCCAGCCAAATACCAAAGGTTCCTATAGTCATGATGGTGTGGTTACAATGTGCCAAGAGGGCAAAATCCCGATCTGGGAATCCTTCTTGACCATCTCCGCCAAAGTGAACATCTCCCAGTGAATTATCAATGTTCTCCTTACACCAGTCCATCCCATTACTGGTTACAATAAACAGCGGGTTTTCATACTTGTTTCTAAAATAGTCCATAGCTTTTTGCAAATATCCTTTGTCAGCAAGCACCCCTTTCCATGTGTTGGGCATAACATACACATAGTCTCCTCGGCGAACATGTACACCTACAAAAGAGACATTTTTCTTGTCACCACGCACATTGTTCAGATATGCATAAGACTCTTCTTTAATGAAGTCATGGAATGTAAATTCTCTGAGAATTTCATCTTTTATGTGGTGGTAAAATGTAAAAGAACATGGGTAGCCACTGAGATGAACATTATTTCCTTCAATATGTCGGTATTCATCAGACATCCAGTCATGAAGTCTGTAATTGCTCCATTTTATGCGCTTAGCTACATCCTGGTCAAGCACTGGCAGTCTTATCTTAAAGATCCTTGCTAGTTTATTTTGCATTCCTGGCAAGATGTAGGCTTGTCGGCCGTTCATCTTAGCTAGAGAGTATAGTGTAGCATACTCTCCCATTAAATTACCTAGGCGACCAATTGCATTGACAGTCCACATACCAGTCAATGGTTTTGGTTTTTCCACGGCTATTATCTCCTTAGTGGGCAGTTCCTCTGTTGTGGAAAGTGGTTTGCTTTTTTTCATAAGGTCCATAAACATATTGATGCTCAAGTTGCTAGTAAAAATGCTGGAAAACTTTATAATGACAAGGAAAATCACATTAACTCCTATGATCCAGAAGAGACATCTGTTTAGTTTGCCAGGGGACCTTGCTAGAGACAAAATAAGAAATAGTACACATTAACAAAAAACAAAACTAAATATGCATGTGAAAAGCAAAGTCTGCAGACATGGCAGGTAACCCAATTTAAAGTACATGTAAAGGAAATTAACAAGGAAGGAACCCTATGCCCCTTTAGCAAGAATGAAGTGTATAATAGAAGACTGAAAAGCTTTTGAGGAGTTTAAATATTGGTCATGTGGGCACAGTACTTGGCAAGGCTATGGGGGAACCGGAAGGTATGTAACATCACTGCTCTGTTCTATGCTGGGCTTCCTATTATAACAGTGGCAGCGGGTGGCAGTCTGCAGAGACTGTGTCCAGAGCCAGATTTAGACCTTGGGGAGGCCAGGGCAGATCAGATTCAGGGGGTCCCTCATACACAGAGTTGGTTTACATTCTCAATGACAGTCACACATTTTCAAAATGCATGACACAACATCATTCTGATGTCAAACATGCACACACAAATGCAGTCATAGGCTACTTTCCATAAGAGTGTAAGCTTTGTATGTGTGGTTCAATGAACTACCAAAATTCGTTTTTAATAATGATACAACATACCAGTCCAGATTAAAAAAAAAAGTTTACAGATGATGGCAGGCAAAATATTACTTCCCAGGATATATTTAATAAAATAAAGTATTTTCATTATTATTTGTTTTATATTGTTTTAGATTATTTTTGTATAGGGGAGGACACTTTCTGTCAAGGTGACCCAGGGCAGTTGTCCCTTTAGCTCCCTTATAAATATGGAACTGGCTAGGTTGACAATGCCCCTGCTGATTTGTAATGCAGTTGGCGAGTGTTGCTATCCTACATAGGTGTCAAGAGACCGATAAACAAATTAATGAAATATTAAAGATTTCTTAATGTAAATTAAACAAGAAAAGTGATTTTAATATTAGCAGGGGCATGGGGAAACAGGCCTTTTTTGCTTTTTGTAAAATCTGTTTCTTGGAATTTGTTAAGGGACACAATGAGGGTTATTTACTAAAACTGGAGAGTGCAAAATCTGTTGCAAGCTACATAGAAACCAATCAGCTTCCAGGTTTTATTGCCCAAGCTTAATTGAACAAGTTGAAGTTAGAAGCTGATTGGCTAACATGCACTGCTTCACCAGACTCTGAGTGCACCATGCAAAGGACTTATGTCCTTTAATGAACTCTAAGACACTGATTCCAACCCCTTGACGCCCGATGTCACACAAATAAGCTGCCTCACAGAACTGGGCTTTTTTCCGTGGGGCTGCATATTTGCGTACCTGTCTTTTTGCTGGGAGCACACAGCACAGCACGCTCCCAGTGCAAAGACCGGGGTGTCACTGAGAGCCCCGGGTCCTATTCTAATGATTGGGATCGGGGACTCCCGATTCCTGGTCACATGATCACTGTGATAGCCTCTGATTGGCTATCACAATGATCAGTCACTGTTTAGCCCGCCCCCTTGCTTTTTTTTTCCCTATGAATGGAGGAGAGAGATGGAGGTAATGGAGGAGAGAGATCCATTGTATCTCTCCAACCCCTGGCATAGAGAAAAAAAAATGTTTGTTAAAAATAAATGAATACATATTAAAAAAAAATAAAGAAAAAATAAAGAAAAAATACCTAGATCAAGAATTTATCTAGTTTGGTGCCAGGGTAAGTGTTTTAGTCAGGTTCATAGGTCAAGGTAAAAATGTCAGGGTCAAAGGTTATGATTTGGTTTTTTTTTTTTAATTGGTACCAGTGTCAGTTAATGGCAGTGTGTTTTAGGTAAAAAAAAACCCCAAAAAAACAAAATGCGCACTATTGTTTCTGGGCTGTACTACAGGTACAAATAACATACACATATATGGTATCACTGCAATCGTCAAGAGGTGGAAAATGTATTTTGTGTTGTTCTTTGGTGGTAGGTTATGGCAGTAACAAGAAATACACATCTAAATTTAAAAAAATTTTTTTTTTACTGTTTTGGGCCAGTTTTCCTTTGATAATAAAAAAAAAACAGTAAACATTGAGGTTAAACCATTTCTCTTCCAATCTCATTGGGTGGCCCTGTCTTATTACATTCCCTGAGACTGATTAGTTTATTCCCTATACTAAAATTACTATTAAGATACCTGTATTACGCTATCATATCCGCTCTCAAGTGTTTCTTTTCCAGGGATATGTTTTGTGTTTGTAATTGTTCTTCATACCTGAGGTCCTCCAGTCCCCTTTTTAACTTTGTTGCCCTTCTCTGGGCTCTCTCCAGTTCCCACACCTCCCTCCTGAGAATTGGTGATCAGAACTTTACAGCATACTCTAGATGTGGCCGAACCAGAGTTTTGTAAAGTGGCAGGATTATAGTTTTATATCTTGAGTAAATTCCCTTTTAATGCATTGCTTGCTGCAGCTTGGCATTGCATGCTACTACTGAGCCTGTTGTCTCCTACGACCCCCAGATCTTTTCCATTCTGGATTCCCCCAGAGGTTCTCCTCCTAGTGAGCAATTTGCTTTCATATTTTTAGCCCCCAAGTGCATTACATTTTTCAACATTAAACCTAATTTGCCATGTATTTGCCCACCCTCATTTAAAATTTCTATATCTTGTTGTGAAATTATTGCCCTACTTAGCTATGTATCATCAGCAAATACTGAGATTGAGCTCTTTATACCAACCTCTATATCATTTATGAATAAATTAAACAGAATTGGCCCCAGGGCAGAGCCTTGTGGTACCCCACTTACCACTTCAGTCCAGTCTGAGTACTCGCTATTTATCACCACTCGTTGGATGCATCCCTGCAACCAATTTTCTTTCCATGAACAAACCCTGTGGTCTATGCCCATAGATCTTAGTTTGTAAATTAAACGTTTATGTGGAACTGTATCGAAAGCTTTTGCAAAATCCAGATACAGCACATCCATCGCCCTTCCTTTAGATGGGTGCTCATTTCCCCATAGAATGTTAACAGATTTGTTTGGCAAGAACAACCTTTTGTAAATGCATGCTGATTACTACTAATTATACTGTTTTCTTCAGCAAATTCTTGGATATAGTCCATTATCATCCCCTCAATTAGTTTACATATTATTGATATTAGACTGACTGGTCTGTAATTCCCAGGTATATGTCTTTGCCCTTTTTTGAATAGTGATACCATGTTGGCCCTTCAGCAATCATTCACCTGTCTGAGTTCTTTACGGACTCTTGGGTGTAAGCCATCTGATCTGGGGATTTATTTGTGTTGAGATTTTCTAGTATTTTTCAGACATTGTCTTCTGTTAGCCACAAGGGTACATTCTGTGGTGTGTTACTAATGATACAGTCCTGTTTACTATACCCCTCCTTTTCCTTTGTATAAACTGAGGAGAAGAATGCATTCAATGCTATTAATATATTTTAAAAACTTTCTTGGGATTCTTTTTACTCTCCTATGCTATATGTCTCTCATAGTCTATTTTAGCCATCCTGATTGCTCTCTTACACTTTCCTTATAATGTTGGAATTTTGACAATGACCCCTCTGCCTTATATTCCTTGAAGGCCATTCTTTTCTCCTTGATATGTCCTTACGTTACAGTTTAGCCACCCAGGTTTAACCTTCACTCTTATATTTATTGCCCAATGGAATACATTGGATAATACCTTTATTTAATCTGTTCCTAAAGTATTCCAAATGTTCAGTGTGTCTAGGATTTTGTCTCATTTAATTTCCTGTAGTATTGAGCATAGCTTAGAAAAGTTGGCTCTTTTGAAGTTTAGTGTTTTTGTTCTACCCTTGTGCCTCCTTATTTTTTGATTTACAGTTGCAAGAAAAAGTATGTGAACCCCTTGGGATTGCGTGGAGTTTTGCATGAATTGGGCATAAAATGTGCTCTGAACGTCATCTATGTCACAACAATAGAAGAACACGGTCTGCTGAACATAATACTACACAAACATTAGATGTTGCCATGGTTTAATTGCACATAACATGTAAACATTCATAGTGCAGGGAGGAAAAACTATGTGAACCTTTGGACTTAATAACTGGTTGACCCTCCTTTGGCAGCAATAACCTCAACCAAACGTTTCCTGTAGTTGCAGGTCAGACCTACACAACGATCTAAAGTAATTTTGGACCACTCTCTTCACAAAAACTGTTTCAGTGTAGCAATATTCTTGGGATGTCTGGTGTGAATCGCTCTCTTAAGGTCATGCCACAGCATTTAAATCGGGTTGAGGTCAGGACTCTGACTGGGCTACTCCAGAAGGCGTATTCTGTGCTGTTGCAGCCATTGTTTTGTTGAATTACTTGTATGCTTTGGGTCATTGTCCTGTTGCATCACCCATCCTCTGCGGAGCTTCAGTTGGCGGACAGATGGTCGTACGTTTTTCTGCAAAATGTCTTGATAAACTCTGGAATTCATTTTCCCATCAATGACAACAATCCGTCCAGGCCCTGAGGCAGCAGAGCAGCCCCAAACCATGATGCTCCCTCCGCCACGTTTTACAGTGGGGATGAGGTTTTGATGTTGGTAAACCCAAAACAAGTGTGTGTTTTGTTAAGGGCAGGACAGCTGTCAGCAACACACATCCAATATCATCACACTGATTGGAGTCAAGGTTGGCTCACTCCTGGCTCCAATTAGCTCTGGGAGAAGTCATTAAGCTAGGGCCTCACATACTTTTTCCTCCCTGCACTGTGAATGTTTACATGTTATGTGCAATTAAACCATGGCAACATCTAATGTTTGTGTAGTATTATGTTCAGCAGACTGTGTTCTTCTATTGTTGTGACTTAGATGACGTTCAGAGCACATTTTATGCC